TCTATTCAAGAGTGTTTACCAGAGTGGTTAGAAAGGTAATGCGCCTCAAACACGTCAAGATCTCTGACTCTCTCATGACATTTCTGACAAGAGAGAGCTCCAAAACCGTAGATGTCAGAGCCAACAACATCAAATCTCTCAGAACAACAACGACCGGGAAGTAAATCGTCAGAAGAAGACAAACCATTAAATCTGTCAGAATTATAGGCATTGCCCTCAAACTTCACTGTGTTTATAAGCTTGGAGCTCTCCAGGGACCTTGAGCTACAGCAGCTTGGATTCTTCATAGCTCGTTCATCTCCATTAGTGACAACGACATGTCTCAGATTCGACACTAATTTTGAGCACCCAGATGGCTTCTTGGTATTCTGGTTTTGCTTCTTGTTTGGATCGCCTTCGCCACCGTCAGTTGACTTGCAGCAGCTAAGAGACTTCTTGAAATAGAGCCAAACTCCACGCATGTCTTGTTCAAGATCCTGTCTTCAGATTCAGAAGAAGAGATGTGAATTATGTAGAGATTCTATGGAGATCTGGTTTTGGTTCGGACACGGGCTCTGTTTCTGTCTCTTCCTGCTTCTTTCTTCACCATATCTGCACAAATTGTTTCCATAAGCGTATGATATCATCTCAAACCATAAAAGAATCAAAAAGAAAATCGTTTCAGAAAGTAGAAAATTTCACATATAGAAGTTTTAACATTTATGGTTAATAAAACTGATCAAATCTTAACCACGAATGATTCTTTTCCAATTACAACTTGGGCAAAAATATAATAATTTAGCATATATGATTGATTACAGAAAAGAAAGATATGGTATTCATACAATTTTTTTTTTTTACTTCTCTTCACGTTCCAAAACAGAGTATAAAGGCCACATGCTTGCTTTGCTTCTATTGAGCTTTGACTTTTTTTTTTCTGAAGTAAAAAAGTCAAACATGTGATCAACCTCTTATTTCAATCTGAAATCTATATCTTTATAAAAAAATTTATTTCATTTACATTAGTTTACAAGAAAAGCATCGAAATTAATACATAAAAAAAAAGGAATGAAACTTTACTTACTTGGTGAGACCAAAACCGAATCTCTCTTTTGTCTTGTAGTGAGAGGGAGGCTTAGGAAAGTAATCTGATGCTGTTTCCTTATTCTTTTCCTCTTCCTTAAAACTTTCATAATACAACAATGGAAATAAATACAGTAATCAAAAAGAAAAGAAAAATTACGGTTTTATGAATAAAGAAAAAAATGCAAAGCGAACTTGGCTTCTTGGTTTCTGTTCTGATCATATGTGCAGACATTTCAGCTGCAGTCCTCGGGATCGAAGCCGAGATTGATCAAAGCAAGGTAAAACTGTAAAAGGAGTTTATTTTTCATTACCAATAATCTTTTTCTTGTAGTTGAATTTGATAGTTCTCCTTTGAAA